TAAATTCCAACTACCTGTGAAAGCATAATGAAGACAAAGGGAAATTCGATCATAAGCTTGTAGATGGCAAAAGCTTTCCAGCTCTATCCAAAAAAGGGGGGTGGGGTGTTAACCCTCCAACACCAGTGGAAACCTAACTTTATCTTTCTGATATAATATTCATGCAAAATATAAAACATACATATGTAAACAAGTATATACATACTATCTAGAGAAACTGTATAAGACGACTAGCATACCAGGAAGTGAAGATATGTTGCAGTACGTATCTCTACTCCTAACTAAAAGGAGAACTTCCACTGAAACAGTTAAATATACCTTGTCAATATGGTACTAAACTGTCTACTTTTTATATATCAACAATGCCTTGATGTACTTAAATAGCAGAATGCTTATCTTGCAACTATTGTTAAAAGGACTATGTTACTGAAACAACATGAGCGCAAATAGTAGGAGGGGGAGATGAGGAGCTTTAGAGGCCGAAGTTAAACCCTCTTCTTCGGAGAACTTGATCTCAGAACGGGGGAGCATTATACCGAGCAGCCCAAGCAAGGCTGAAGTGGGGTTAACCGATTCTATTCTTCCTCATAAAGGAATGTATATTCCACATTTCAGCCCACAAGTCACCTTTGGAAATATAAACTCTTCAATAAGTTGAAAATCACTTATATCCAAGGTGGCATTTACTCTTCTATGAGCTACAGTGAATTACAAAGAGAACTGCTGGGTTCTTTTTAGTGGTTACAGCTATTAAGGTATGCTCCTGTCACTTAAGGTATGATGTAAAAAGATTCTGAAAGCCCTGCAATTGTGGCTGACATGGTGGCATAGCAAGCTAGTGCTCCACCTGCAGGTACATCCCCTATGAGCAATAGTTCATGTCTCAGTTGCTCCACTTCTGATGCAGCTCCCTGCTTATTGCCCAGGAAAGAAGTGGAGGATGGCCCAAGGTCTTGGGACCTACAGCCATGTGGAGGAGCTGCAGGAGGCTCCAGGCTCCCAATTGTGCATTGACCCAGCTGTGATTATGGTAGCCCTTTGGGCAGAGAACCACTGGAAGCAAGATGTCTCTCTGTCTTTCCCTGCCCCCCTTTCAAGTAAAAATGAACGAGTCTAAAAAAAAAAGCATTTAGTCTTGTAATGGATTAAATAAACTTGCAACACACACACAAAACACCCCTCCAGAATAACAGAGCACTCAGATTGAACTTCGCCCATTGTGTCACTTCACCAATATGCTTCGTGTGTGTGTGTGTGTGTGTGCAGATAGAGCAATCATACCGCGGAATTTCAAAGCTTCCATCTAGGGGTAGCAACAGTTACATTCCCTACAACTGTTTATAGGAATTCATTTATGAGTTTTATAATATAGTTGATAGACATTTCATTTCCATTTCATCTAATTGTAATAAATGTTAGAATCATTCCACAACTATCCTATGAATGAATGCAGAAGAACTATCGCTTGCAGTGTTTGTTGTGAGCAGTAAAGAAAACACATGGGTAAGAAAATATAAGATATTCTCAAGGTATTAAAGTAATTCACAAGAACAAAAATCAATTAAAGCAAATCTACCATGGATCTTGAATTTGACAAATCACCTTTCAGCTTTGCAACAAGTAGCTGCTGTGGGTTAACATTAAATCAATGGCACTGAAGGAAACGTCTTCAAAATCACTTTCTATGTGCTACCCTCAAGAGAGACCTGTTTATCAGAAAGGCACCTTTGGCTTTTAATACAAGAGAAGGACACATGTTCTGTGATTCAGGGAAATGCACGAATCACAGGCACCAGAAGATTAGAATGAACTGTTAACCTACATAAGCTCATTAAATTCAGTGAAAGTGTGATCTGCACAACAGAATAATGATGCCTATAAATCCGCAGGTGTCAGTGGATTTACCACACAACAGTCACGTGGGAAGACAGCGCTTTTACTGCACCCAATCATCACTTAGACAAAAGCTTTTCTACTAAGCAATGTTACAATTGATACCTTAAATAGTTTCTCTCTCTCTCACACACACACACAACCCTACATTATATGAACTAGTTAAATCTGTCTCATTAACTTAACTTCTACCTTTATGAAGAAAACACTTCTGGTTTCTAATTTTTATAGAATTTGGTAGTTCAAATGGCAAGGACTGAGTTTTTCATGTCACCATTTATGGAATGAAACTCTGACATTTAGGTGGCCCTCACTTCACCTCAGTTCTCTCTACCTACACTTCCCACTCAGGTAAGTGCTACCCATCTTCCTGGTCTATCTGAAATTCAAATTCTGTTTCCTTTTCTGGGATTTGTGGTTCTTATTTTCTCCAACACATGTAACATATGCTATTCCCTATCACTTGCACTTTGTAAAAAAAAGTTTCATATCCATGCCCTATGCATATACAATGTATAGACTCTGTATGTGCCCCGTGCAGAAAAAATTCACAGGTATTTGTTGGTGAAGGTATACACCATTATCATCTTAAGATATTGAATTTGAAAAAAAATGGTGAATTTGTTTTATAGCAACTATGTCAAATATTATTTCAAATACATTGATCACACAGCTGCCTAGGCAGGCATTTAAAAGTGAACAATAGCATTGGCCCAGGTGGTTCAGTTTTCTTTCTCCCAATCTGAGTCTTCCCAGCAATGGGTCAAACTAAGAAAATATGGACACAATTTCTGAAATCTACAAATTGTATTGATATATTTCCTAGCACATATGCAAGGAATGCATGTAGTCATTTATGACCCAACAGAAGTACAAGGAGAAGATTGGACAGAATCCCAAAGTGCAACAACAGACTAACTTTGCTTTTAGGGTTATGCAGGACACTCCCCATGTATTCCTGCTGTCCTGGAACATCCGTTCATTTTACCCTGGACCCCTTCTGCTCTCAGAACTGCCCCAGTCTGGGCAATAAAAAATAGTCACTGGATATATGAAGCCTTGTATTATCTCTTGGGCCTGAATTGCTAGGGGACATTAACCTAAGGAAGGGATAGAGAGGAACCAAGTCGAGAACTAGCACCAGAGCCTGCCTCTGCAGACTGAATTCAGTGTTCTCTTTTCTAGTCCCACTATTCCAATATCACTGTTTTTTCTGAAACCATCTCTAAATTATTTTTATCTTCTCAAAAATGTTTCTGAGAGCCAGAAAGGTGTGTGGGTCATGCCAGGTTGGACCACAATACCAGCCAGTTCACAGTAGGACCGGGTCTGGGGGCTGGCTGGGCTGGCTAAGCTGTAGTCCCCGTAAGCATGAGCTGGAACTGGGCGGGTCAGGCCAGGCTACAGCACCCACTGGCAAATGCTGAGGTGAGGCAAGCCATACATACCAGACTGGGTCACAGCACCCAACCAGCACACATGAGAACTCAAAGGGGGGGGGGGGGCAAACCTAGTAGAGGGGCTATAGGGAGATCCCCTGTTGCACCACTATTCCCACTGATGAACATGAGAGCTGGCATTGGAACAAACCAGACCAGGCAGGGCTACAACACCTGTTCACCTGCATGTCAACTGGACCAGGGACAAGCCAGGTTGGGCGGACTGTACCTAGCAGTATATGCATAAGCCAGAGGGGGTGAGGGTTTGGTTGGGCTTTGCCACAGCATCAGCTTCAAATCGGCTCACCACCAGCCCTTGCAGTCACTTGGGGGAATGAATAGACAGACAGCAGATCTTCTCTAACTCTCCTCCTCTCTGTAGATTTGACTTTGCAATAAAAATAAATAAATCTTAAAAAAAAAAACTCCAACCATGGAGGAAATTGCAGGTTCCATGGTCTGACGGTAGAATGTATGTGTCAGAGCTGGGCCTCCTCAATGGCTTAGATGGAGCAGTGGACAGGATATCCAGATGCACATAGAGGATATGGCAGTACACTGGAGCTTGCAGAGGACACCTAGTACCATAACAGAGGACGGAGGACAGACCAAATCTGTCAACTACCCCAGTCAAGAATTGGCAGTGAATGCCTGGTTAAGTGGAGTCTAAAATGAACCTTGTCAGCCAGTGGAGTCTGAAGAGATTTTACCATGATTGAAGTGGCAAGATTGGCAGCAATTCAGAATTGTTGAACTATCAAGACCACTTGAGCAGGACCCTCAGAGCATGCCCCACATCCGGGACCTTGGGATGGTTGGGAGGCTGGGTGTAGCTTCTTCCCTTATCTCTCCCCCCGCCCCAGACACAGGAAGGAAAAAAAAAAATGTGGAAACAAGTGTTCACATCCATTTTCCTCTAGCCCTTGACCTTTTGTACTCTAATCAAATATGTAAAAAGTATCAAAAATAAAATGTATACAAGATGAAAAAATTTAAGAATTTTAATGATAGATGCTGACTCTGGACATTACTTCACTCAACCTTGAGCAAACTAAAATTAAGATTACTTGTTCAATATGTGTTCACTCATTGACTGATGGTCTTCTTCAATAAAAGAGAATTACATACTGAAATTTTATGCTCTGATGATTAATACAAAATCTTCACAACCAGCCAAACTCATTTTCAAATTTTCTTTGCTTCAGCTTGTTCATGTATTCTTCCATCATTAATACCAGATATCAGATTTCTTTTGGATCTGTGTTTACAATCACTTCTGAAGCACGTGTTCACATTTAACATGTCAATTTGGATATAGTTGCTGTGACAAGGAAGGCATACTTACCACTCAAGGAGTCTCACTTGTATACTATCCTACAAGATGAGACTCTACTCTGAGGATATGTGAGGGATAGAGCCCGTGGAGCAGCCGGGCTGTGCAACTGTGAGTTACCCATCACATTCTCATTCACATTCTATATGCAAACCAGCAGCTCTGTTCTTGCTTTCCATTATTCAAAAGGATAATTTTAAATTTTCAAATTTCCCAAGAATCTACCACACACTAAAAATTTGTCAGAAAGGGATAAAACTTAACATTTTTAATAATTCACTTTGGGTTCTACCTTGGAAAAAATCTGAATTCAGAGTTTTAAAACCTTCCTTCTTGTGCTCATTACACAGTACATGTATTAAAACTGGAAGAAAAAAAATAGAAGATTAGCATAGCCCCTACACAAGGATGACATGGAAATTCATGAAGCATCCTGTATTTTTTCTTTGTGGCAGTTCAATTCACAAAGGCAAAGAAATGGAATCAACCCAGATATCCATCTACGGATGACCGGATAATAAACCGTGGCACGTACCCACAATGGAATCCTACTCGTCCATAAAAAAGAATGAAATGCTGTCTTTTGCAACTAAATGAATGCAATTGGAAACCATTAGGCAGTGCAATAAGTCAATCGCCCCAAAAGTATGTTTTCTCTTATTTGTGATAACTAATTTATAGAGTACCAAAAAGTGTAATCTGTAGATGAAAGTGATTCTCTGGGATTTGATTATTCTGTACAGCCTTGGTTAAACACCTGAGAAACACTGGTTCTTCTGTTATTATTTTTTACCTGCCATTTTTTATTATCTTCACATAATGGAGTGTTAAATAGGTGAAAAAATAGATTTAAAAAAAATCTTCCTTCTCCCCAAATTCCACTTCAAAAATTATAAATTCAAGCTCTATTTGAGCTTCAGAATCAAGTCTATGAGAGAAAAATCATCCAAAGACAGCTGCTAGCTCACTTGATCTAATTTTTCACCAACATGAGGGCAAAATTTGGTACATCTGGTCACATAACAACCACATTCTACTAATCTGACATTTCTGCACACCTACTGCTGTAAATTGGCATAGAACCCCACAATATTTATCACAAGTTTCTAAAAGAAAGATTAAGATGAAAATACATTTTATTTGTGCCAAGCTTAACTTCTGATTACATCTAATGCCATGATTCAGAATACGGCTTTTTATTAATGCTAACAATGACCCACACTCCATGTTTTTACACATACCCATTTGGGTAAAGTGTGAAGTAAGTAAAAAAAAAAAAAATGCATCTGGCATGATTCGCCACAGACCTAGTGGCAAAAAAAGAGAAATACCCTTCAAGCAAAACATAGTTACTAAAAGCATCTTGGTTGTTACGATACCTCCTGGCTCCTGGCAAGTGGCAATCCAGTTCCGTTTTGTTTTGTTTTGTTTTGCTTTGCTTTTAACAACAAAAAAAGTTTCTACATCAAATAGAACTCTCTCGGAGAAAGAATATTGAACTATTTAAAAAGTTCAAGCTACTGTGCCTATGTGACAGCTCAATTGGCTAATCCTACCCCTACAAGCACAGGGACCACAGATGAGCATCAGTTTGTGTCCCAGCTGCTCTACTTCCCTTCTAGATCTCTGCTTATAGCCTGAGAGAGCAATAGAAGATGGATCAAGGCCTTAGGACCCTGCACATCCATGGAAAATCTGGAAGAATCTCCTGGCTTCTGGCTTCAGCTGAACTCAGCTATGGACATTGCATTATTTGGGGAGTGAATCAGCAGATGGAAGGATTTTTTGTCCCTCCTTCTGTGAAACCTGCCTTTTCAATAAAAAATATATATATATATTTTTTAAAAATCAATTTACTTAACTGACAGAATGATTATCAGTTGAAGGTATAGAATTTTTAGGAGTTCACAAGGGCAGATTTTTCAACTTTGTGAATTTCCTTTTCATTAAGTACTTGATTCAGATAAGGCTTCAGATAACTTTTAGAAGTTCTTCAAGCTTCTCATGACTCCCTGGCATTCCATGGGCAAATATAAAGGTATTTGTTAAAGAGTTGTTGATAGAAAAGTAATTACAAAACATGATGAGTCCACACTTAACACCCCAGAGAAACACAATTAGATTTATTGGCAAAAGAACTGGAATCCTGACGTGATTAGACAACTACACACCCAAGCACTTTAAATGGAGAAGGTGTCTGGGCCTCATGGTATAAACAGGCTGTCATAGTGTGGCCAAAATCTCAGTTAAGCTGTTTCTTTGGCGATGTGGACATCACTTCTCTATACATATACTTCTACTACAAGGACTACATTTTCTACTAGGACTAATGGACAAGATACTGTACAGATGAGCCAGGATCTGGTCTATGTCAGCTGTTTTGAGTAAACAGTCTTTCAAATAACTTTAGATTTAAGGACAAATTACAAAGTTAGCACAGGGTACTCCCATATATCTTTCCCTTAGCTTAACCAAATGTTATAAAACATTGAAACCCTCATGAAAATTAAGAAATTTATGTTAGCATAACACTATTAACTAAACTACAAACTTATTTCATATTTTACCAGATTTTCCACTAATTTTCATCTGTTCTAGGATGCAGTCTGGAACACAACAGCACATTTTGTCAACAGGCTTCCTTCTAATTTTCTGATCTATGATAAGCCTTCCACAATTTCTTTGTTTGTAGGGAATCTGACATGTTTGACAAGTACTCTTCAGCTTGGGTTGTCTGGTACTTTCTCTTAATTACACTGAGGTTATAAATTTTAGAGGAAAATATCACAGTGGGACGACGGAAGAGCCATCTTTTCTTCCCTCAGCACCAAGAACAAGGTCCAAACCATCAATACCCAGGGTAACTAATACCAGACTTTCTGTGGACAGAAATGTGTCTCAAAGCCACATTTCTATTCTTGTAAAATGCAGTAAAGTGGGTTACTTGTGGGCACAGCTGACGTTGAAGAACTCACTCAGAGACAACACTTCTGGGTTCACCTAAACCCAAGACCAAAGCAACAAGTCAAATGATAGCCTGCATTCCATCTAAGACATATACTCTTTTCCAACAGATCCTACTCCACAAAGAGGGAACTATCATACTGGATGTGTAGGTGTCAAGATGGGGACAAATAAGACATGAAGAAGCAAAGTAGTACGATGCCTCCAAGAAAACAAAACTGTTCTCAAGAATTAGATCCTGAATGAAGGAAATTTGTGAAATGTCAGAAGTAGAATTTAAAATAATAATTATAAGAACACAATGTGTTACAAGAAAATACAAACATATTAATGACATATTAATAAAATGAGGAAATCAATGAGTGGTACGAAGGAAAAAAATTACTAATGGGGAAAGCATTGTAGCAAGCGAGGTCAAGCCCCTAACTGAACATCAGCACCCCACGGTACTGGTTCTTGTCCTAGCTGCTCCATTCCAATCCGACTCCCTGCTAATTGCCTGAAAAAAGAGACAAAAACAACCCAAATACTTGGACACAAGCTATCCATGTAGCAGATCTGGATAAAGCTCCTGGCTTCAGCCAAGTCCAGCCCTGGACATTCCAGCCATCTGGGCAGTGAACCAGAAGAAATGAAAGTAGAAAGGAAGATCTATCTCTTTCCTTCACTCTATCCTCCCCGCAAATCCCACCTCTTCATGACTTTCAAAATAAGAAAAACAATTACAGACAAAAACTTAGTAAGGGATAGGAATAATTAGGAAGAATCAAGTAGAAATTTGAGACAAAATTTTCAATCAATAAAATTAAATATATGACTAAGATTTAACAGAATAGATTAAATGGAGAAAACAATTTCTGATCTCAAGTACAAGATTTTTGAAATAATTAAATCAGACAAAAAGAAAAGAATTAAAAATCATGAGGAAAGTCTATGTGAGATATGGAATATCATTACAACCAAATATCTGTATTATAGATATTCCTGAAGAAAGAAAAAGACATTGAGAATCTGCCAAATAATACAGTTGTTAAGAATTTCCTGTCTTAACAAAGATGGACATCCAGATACAAAAACCTCAAAGGTGAGAGCGTGGTAGCTTAGTGGCTAAAATCCTCACTATGCACACAATGGGATCCCATGCAAGCACTGGTTCTAATCCCAGTGGCCCTGCCTCCCATCCAGCTCCCTGCTTGTGGCCTGGGAAAGCAGTCAAGGATAGCCCACACCTGGGAACCCTGCACTTTCATGGGAGACCTGGAACAAGCTCCTGGCTCCTGGCTTTGGATTGGCTCAGCTCCAGCCATTGCAGCTACTTGGGGACTGAACCAACAGACAGAAGATCTTCCTCTCTGTATATCTGCCTTTCCAATAAAAATAAATAATCCTTTAAAAAAAAAACTCAAAGGATCCTAAGCAAACTCAAACAAAAAAAGATCTTGAAGGTACACTGTAGTCAACCTGTCAAAAGTTAAGCACAAGGAGAGAGCCCAAAAGACAGCAAAAGAGCAGTGTCAATGATATATAAAGAAAAACCAATTAGACCAACATCATGCTTCTCAATAGAAACCCTACAGACCAGAAAAGGGAAGCAAGATATATTCACGGTCTTAAATGGAAAAATTAAAAAAAAAAAAAACTTCCAGCATAGACTATATATCCAATGAAGCTGTCCTTAGAAGTGAAGGAGAGACAAGTTACTTTTCTTGATAAAGGCAGAGAATTCAGCACCACCAGACAAGCAGTACAAGAAATTCTGAAAGGTTGTGCAATAAAAGTAAACACCATGAAAACACAGGGCACTAACAAATTCACTTACACAACAGGTGTAATCAGTATCAACAAAATGACAGGTGCTAGCTCTTATCTATCAATACTAACCTTGAATGCAGATGATTAAATTCTACAGCCAAAAGACTGAGTCTGCCTAAATAGATAAAAAATAAGACCCCGCTATATGAAGACCCTAAAATATTCACTTCACAAAGATACACATAGATTGAAAGTGAAGTACTGGATTAAGATATACTGGACAAAAATAAGCAGGAGTAGTCATCTGATAACAAATAAAACAGAGTTTAGATCAAAATCTGTAGAGACAAAAAGAACATTATACTTTGATAAAAGATTCAGTTCAGCAAGAAGACATACCATAAATATATATGTGCCCAATACAAGACCAACCAAATGTATACAGCAGACATCATCAAACTTAAACAGATAAATAGGCTCCAATAAAACATTGACAGATATCTTCAACATCCCACTCCCATCAAATGAACAGATCTCTCAAGCAGAAAATCAACTGAATAAATGAAAATGAAAACACAACATAACAAAGTTTGTTGAATGAAGCAAAAGCACTTTCAAGGAGAAAGCTTATAGCATCTAGTGCTTCCATTAAAAAAAAAGAAATATATTAAGTGATCTAATGATGCATCTCAACTACTTAGAACAATAATACAAAGCGCAAATCAGC